TCATAATATTAATTACCTTAAATTAAAATTCAAGCCAAATGCACAAAATGGATTGATAAAAAATGTCTCATGGTTGAAAAATTATTAGTAATACGAATAAAAATGATTTGAGTCAAATTTGATTTATTTTTTAATAATATATAATATTATAAACTTTTAAATTTGATTCAAATTCAAATCGATATTTTATTGAAATCAATTCAAATTTGATTTATAAGTTTTAAATTTTAAATTTTTATATTTTATATATTATTTTAATAAAATTTTAATATATTTATATATAAAATAATTATTTTTATTTTATAGAAATTTAAAATATATATACAAATTAACAAAATTTTATTTTAATATATATATATAAAATAATTATTTTGATTTTATAAAAATTTAAAAATATATAAATTAATAAAAATATATAATTTTATTCAATTTAATTTTTTTATTTTTCATATCTCGATTTAAAATTTAATATGAATTTAATATATATTTAATATCTAAATTTAATTTAAATCAAATAAAAAATAGATATAAATAACCGAATACTTCTATTTAAATCAATTTCTAAATTTTTCTAAGTAAAAATACCTCAAATCAATGGAGCTTATAGTAATAGTATTATATTATAGGATAAATAAAAAAAGAAAAGCAAGTAGCGGCAGGCACATGGTAGATAAACCAGGTAGCGGTCTCCATTCGTTTGTCTGAGATTGAGTGAGTACATTCGTAACGTTCAAACTTGGAATCTCTCTTTCTTTCCCCCAAAAATATGATGCTCTGCTGAAAAGCTACTTCACTTTTCTCTCCTTTCTTTCTCTCAATTCTCTCTTCTTTCTTCCCCTGCTGTAACTGCGTTCTCTCTCTCTCTCTCTCCCAAACCAACAAAAAAAAAAAAGGCTGAGAGCTTGAGAGTGAGAGAGATGGTCCTTGGAGCTAACGGCCTCGTTTGGATGGATGGAGAAGACGAAGAACATGCAGTTTCTTCTTGGACCCGAAACAACATCAATACTAGCGGCAATAATGAAATTGAGACTAATGAAGAGGATTTGAATATGTCCGGTGCTTCGCTTCCCACCTTCAATCCATGCTTGACACTGATTGGTACATAAACCCAGCTATGAACCAGGATCTTCAAATCAGAGAGCTTGGTTTCTGCTCCAACCAGGTTGATAACAGTCTTCCTCCTTCACAACCCAATTGATTCCTCTGCTTCTTGTTCTCCTCGCAGGCCTTCTTACTTGACCCTTCACAGTCACACCCTTTCTTGCCTCCTAAATCTTGCTTCTCTTCTCTCCTCAATGTTTCCTGCCACAACCCTTTTGACAATGCCTTTGATTTCGGTTCCGAAACGGCTTTTTATCGCTCAGTTTCAGCCGAATCAAACCCCCAATCTGATGAGTTTTCCTCAGACCCAAATGGGGCACTCCTGACTTCAGTTCGAGCTCAGAGTTTCAAGGTACAAGGTTGTTCACAGGAACTGAAAATGCTTCTGCTTTGAGTGGTGGTACTAGTGCTGGTGATTTTGCTGGATCGGCGAATGCCATGTTTATGAACAGAGGAAAGATTTTGAAGCCACTTGAAGTTTTCCCTTCAGTTGGTTCTGAACCAACTTTGTTTCAGAAGCGAGCAGCGATGCGGCAGGGCTCTGGTGGGGCTGATAAATTGGGGAATTTGGATGTTTCAGAGCTGAGATTTGGAGCGGAAGTGTCAGTAGCAAATCGGAAGAGGCATGAGGAAGGAGATATTGAAGAAGCCAATATCGATGTGTCGGGTTTGAATTATGATTCGGATGAGAGGAATGATGATTGCAAAGTGGAAGAGAGTGTAAAAAATGATGTTTTCAATTATGCAACTAGTACAGTTACTGGTGGTGGGGATCACAAGGGGAAGAAGAAGGGGATGCCGGCAAAAAATCTGATGGCGGAGAGACGGAGAAGGAAGAAGCTCAATGATAGGCTTTACATGCTTAGGTCTGTAGTGCCCAAGATTAGCAAGGTATATTATATTTGAAAATTCTTCAGGAATTAGTTATTACTTATTATAGACTAGCATATTCTTTTGTGGTCTTGCTATTGTGGTCATGTTGGTTTGTTCATGTTAATTGTTATAGGTATTCAAAATTAGGATCTTGATATGTGGCATTTGGTCTTGACTCTTGAATTAAATGCTAAGTTACCTAATTTCTGTTAGAGTTTGAGAACATGCATGCTTAATTTTAGTTTTTTCCCCCTTTGCTTTTAAGATTACATGTTGTCTGTTGAGTGCTTGTGATTATTGTTGTTTCGGGGTGATTTTAGTTAGACGTATATTACCTTGGTGTTCCTTTAATTGAAACTGGTAATGATGACAGCTACTCATTGTGCTTATCATGTCATAGATGGATAGGGCTTCAATACTTGGGGATGCCGTTGATTACTTAAAGGAGCTTCTGAAAAGGATCAATGATCTCCATACTGAACTTGAATCCACTCCACCTGGCTCTTTGATGCCACCATCTACAAGTTTCCACCCATTGACACCAACTCCACCTACCCTTCCATGTCGTGTCAAGGAAGAACTGTGCCCCAGCTCATTGCCAAGCCCTAAAAGCCAACAGGCAAAGGTAAAATTTTGGACTGAAAAGTTGACTTATTTTTTCCTATTTATTTGCTCAAGTTTTGCTACAATTGCTTGTTTTCTTTATTTCTATGAGAAATTGATGTTATTACTTAAAAGTCCTTTTACCTACTATGCAAAAAATTTAACATGCATGATAAATTTGAAAATCTTGAAGGTGAGAGGAGCAAAACATGGATGCCTATGTGTTCTTTTCTGATAGTGACTTGCATGATACCAGCTAGACAAATAAGTTAATATTGAGCTCGAATGTTGCATAAAGTTGTACTCTTTCTAATTCGAGTATGGACTGGTAGACTTTCAAATGATTTGTATTTAAAGTTGATTTTGGAAAGTTAACAATGCCCTGTTAAACATATACAATATGTTAGTTCTTGTCTATGTACTTGCAAGAACAATGGGGTCCAATATTTCGTCCATTTATAGATAGAACATGTGCTCATTAAACTTGTTAGGTTTTGAATTTGTTGATGGACCTTATCATGAAAAATAGAGTACTCTATATTAGATAAATATGATGTACTGAGGAGGCTGCAATTTTCATTTTTGAGCTTTTTTGTTTTTGTTCTTTTTCTCATTTTATTGATCATTTTCTTGTCTTCTGCTTAGCTTCTTGTTGGTTATGAAATGTTTTTATATATATATAAAGGAGTAATCATTAAACAAGCATATCTTGCTCGAAATACCCAGTTGCTAATAAGCATCCTGTTGATATAATCCCCTGCAATCCATGAACAGCCTCTTTCACTTAAGAACAACTGAAGAAGTAATAATTTTCTTGCCATGAAGCCTTGAATTCCTTTCCATCCATACAAAATAACTGAAGAAGTGAGATATTTGTTCTTTCCCTGGTCAACAATATTCTTTATATATTTATATGCTAGGCTTTTGTTTCTTTGCACTTGGATGTAGAACTTATGTCAGACATGATATACATTTTGGACAGACATATGCTTGCCAAAAACTTTCACCAGGTTGTGTCAGTGTAACTTGTTACAGACAATTCTTTTTTCCTAAATGTTTTGAACAATAACTCAAGTAAACTCCTAATTTTCACATTTCTATTTCTGAATTTCCAGGTGGAGGTTAGGGTAAGGGAAGGAAGGGCTGTCAACATTCACATGTTTTGTGCTCGCAGGCCAGGTCTCTTGCTCTCCACTATGAGAGCCCTAGACAACCTTGGATTGGATATACAGCAGGCTGTAATCAGCTGTTTCAATGGGTTTGCACTGGATGTGTTCCGAGCTGAGGTGCACTTCTTCCTTCTCTTCTTGTCTTCATCTGCTTCTGGTGATATTTCCATTTAAAGATCAATTTTAATTTGCGCATCTATCCTAGAGATTATATATGTTCTTCTCACATGATTGCAACTAACATCTCTGTAACAATTCAAAACCTCTGAGATTGAGGGGTCTCTTCTTCTTATTGTCCTGTTGTATAAGTTTTCAGGTCCCACTAAAATCCAAATAAGAAGATTTTGTCAGTGAATGGATGAAGAAATGGATAATTTGATTATTTGGTTTGTTGTTTAACAGCAAAGCAGGGAAGGGGAGGACGTAATGCCTGAGCAAATCAAAGCCGTGCTTTTGGATTCAGCAGGCTTCCATGTGACTTGAAAAGCTGATGTGACTGTAGTAATAGTGTTGTAAAATCAATTTGAAGTAGAAGAAGGCGTTGATGAGATAATGTTTGTAGGTGGCGCAAGCAAGTTAATGTTAATTTCTTTCTTAGTTTTTGAGTTGACAAGTAGATACAAGATTGTTTTATTAGGTGTTTTACGCATGGTTTTTCAGCTAGGAATTTGATGGTTGATGGCTAATGGCTAATGGCTAATGTACTGTTAAACGTGAGAATGATTGTGTAGTTGGTGTTGCAGCACTATGAATAAAAAGGTGACCCAAGTTCCTCTCATTCAGAAAATTGAATCTAAATAAAATTTTAAGAATCATATTTAAAAAAATTAAAATAAAAACGTGTTAATTGTTTTTTAGAAAAAATTTAAAAAAAAAAAAAGATGTAGAAATTGGTGATCATTTCAAAAATAGAGGTGCAGGGAAAAAAAATTCTTTTCATTACTTATAAAATAATAAAATTTTTCTTTATTTTACCTAAAATTGAATAATATACCTTAACTTAAATTTATGATTAAAACTTAACAATTTTAAATTAAATATGAAACTCAATAAAAATTAATTAGAAAAATAATCCCAAAAAGGGGCCCCCAGCAGTCCGCACCATTTTGTTTTAACTTTAAACTAGAAATATAATACAAAAAGACCAAGCACGAGAGAAGTCAGTTTCAAAACCAATGCGCCGCGGCCCAACAGATTGCCCTATTGCCGTCAGATCAAAGTAACGGCCCTGACATTACAAATCTTGGCCATCCATTTTCCTGAAGACCCAAAACACAATGGGAAGTAAGGGTTTCCGACAAATAACTAAGAGCAGTGTGATTAAAGGAAGAGCAGCTGAGGGAGGCGGCGGTGTTTTTTGCTCTCCCCGCTTTGCCTGTTTGTCTTGTTTTTTACTTTCTGACCGATTGTATTTTCTCTAATCAGATCTTTGGACAACTCATATCGTTGAGAATGATGGCGGCTTCGTTGCAATTTTCTGCTGTGAAAACGCCTCTGTCGCATTCGCCTCCAAACCAGAGTTCTTTGCACTGCCAATCGGCATGGTCAAGTCAGCTTAATTTTGCTGCATTTCGGTCTTCAAATTCTTTCAACTTATATAGGAGCCTAAGACGTTGTAAAACTAGAGTCTTTAAAGTTAGTTGCGAAGGAGGAGATGTGGATGTGATTGAGAGGAAAGCAACCTTGGGAGAAGCAGAGAATCAATTGACGTGTGTGATGAAGTTCGGTGGATCATCAGTGGCTTCCGCTGAGCGAATGAGAGAGGTTGCTGACCTTATACTTAGTTTTCCTACTGAAAGGCCAGTCATTGTTCTTTCTGCTATGGGAAAGACAACCAATAAGCTTTTGCTGGTAATCCTGTTATTTAATTTGGCTTTTATTTTTTTATCCATTAATTTCATACACTCTGGAGCTTAAAGGGTCTACTAAGAAGTTGGCTTTTGGTTTGATGATTAGGCTGGAGAAAAGGCTATTAGCTGTGGTGTCACTAAGGTAGATACTATTGAAGAGTTGATCTTTATAAAAGACCTGCATCATAGGTAAGCAAAAGGGCAAGGTTTTCCTTTTTCTGCACTCCTTTGCTTTTTGTTTGTAAAGATAAGGAGTTCTGACATAAGTTTGTTATCTCTTATGTTCAATTTTAATGCCCAGGACGGCTGACGAGCTTGGAGTGGACAGGTCGGTTGTTGATGGTGAGATTATAATCTGCTCTTGAGTTGAGGTCAATTCTTCTTTCTTTCCAACCTCAAGAAACTTTTTGCTTCATTCAGTTTCACATTGATGGCTGGTTTCTGTCTTGCTTTTTTGCATGAAAAAACCTTTTGCAGGGCACCTAGAAGAATTGGAGCAGCTCTTAAAGGGAATTGCTCTGATGAAAGAGTTAACATTAAGGACAAAAGACTATTTAGTTTCATTTGGGGAGTGCATGTCTACGAGGATTTTTGCAGCATATTTGAATAAAATTGGTGTTAAGGCCCATCAGGTATGTTGTTTGTCTCCTTTTTTCCGGTATCTGGTTGTTCGTATAATTACCGGGCAATTTGACCAGTTGTATTATTTTCATCTAAAAAAATACTTTGCACTCCTCTTTTTGATAAAACACTCCTAAAAGTATGTTTTCCTAACTCTAAAGTTGAATTTCTTTGTGGTTCAAAATTCAAATCAGCAATGATTAGGATACTTGACTTCTCCATGCTTCATTTTTAATCCAATTTATGCACAGTACTGTATTCTCTACATTTCCCCGTAACCACCATCATGAGGACTGCAAATTATAAGTCAATGTCTTGTTTTGCAGTATGATGCCTTCGAAATTGGTTTCATTACCACTGATGACTTCACAAATGCGGATATTCTGGAAGCAACTTACCCAGCTGTTGCAAAAAGGTTAAATGATGATTGGATCAGTGATCCTGCTATCCCAATTGTCACTGGTTTCCTCGGAAAGGTTTAACAGCTGCTGATATCTTTTTGAAATGATTTCATTCTTAAACAAGAGTTTCTTGCAGGGATCTTTTGGTAATGCTTTTTATCTTTTCACTTCTTATTGTAGGGCTGGAGATCTTGTGCAATTACTACTTTAGGTAGGGGTGGTAGTGATTTGACAGCCACAACCATCGGAAAAGCATTGGGGTTGCGAGAAATTCAGGTCAGTGCATGTGTTCAAGGTCTGAACATGTATAAGTCATAAACCTACTGATGCATAAAGATAGCCAGTTCTTTTTTTTTCTTGTCAAGCATCTATATGTTCAAATGTACTGTGCACCCAAAGTTGTAACAAAAACAAATACTCACAAGTTTATACCCTGTTTCCAGCATAATGTACCTTTTTGAGTGTATGACAGTATTCTTTATTCTTTATAGGTATGGAAAGATGTTGATGGCGTTTTGACCTGTGATCCTAACATATATCCACGTGCAGAACCTGTCCCCTACCTGACATTTGAAGAGGCAGCCGAACTTGCTTACTTTGGTGCTCAGGTATTATATTGATATGCTGCTTTTGTTCTCCTTTTTTCCTTTTAATAACTACCTAGTGCTCCCTTCTGATGAAAAGGCATATATACATGTGTGTCTTTGCTTTTGGGTTCTATTTTTGGAGGTAATGTAATGATCGTTTAATTGATCTAAGCATGGCTAACTGAGTGAATTTGGATGATCGTCCTTCCCTTGTTCAGGTTCTGCATCCACAATCCATGAGACCAGCTAGAGAGGGTGATATTCCTGTTAGGGTTAAAAATTCTTACAATCGTAATGCTCCAGGAACTCTCATCACCAGGAATAGAGATATGAGTAAGGTTTGTAGCAGCTAATTGTTTGCTTAGTGTTCTTTAATGAAATATGAACTCCTTTAATCATTCTTTTCCTAATTGCAGGCGGTGCTCACCAGCATTGTGTTGAAACAGAATGTCACCATGTTGGATATTGTCAGCACACGCATGCTTGGTCAATTTGGCTTTCTTGCGAAGGTTGGAAAGCCATTTCTTTATTTTAATGCTCTCTGTTATTTTGGATTTTCTATTTGGCAATTGATATGTATCTTTTTATCTGTGCAGGTATTTTCTATCTTCGAAGATTTAGGCATCTCGGTGGATGTTGTAGCTACTAGTGAAGTCAGTATTTCATTGACTTTGGATCCATCAAAACTTTGGAGCAGAGAGTTAATTAAACAGGCAAGTGTATGCTACCTTTCTTCATGCTTTAATTATTCATATCATGTTACAAATTTTATGCTTGCTTTGCTACTAGCCGTTGTTCTGCAGAAGGATTCTGAACCATTTCCTCTGTTTGTATATTTTCTCTTGACAGGAACTTGACCATGTTGTAGAAGAACTTGAGAAAATTGCTGTTGTCAATCTGCTTCAACACAGATCTATCATTTCTCTCATTGGGAATGTCCAGAGATCCTCACTTACACTGGAGAAGGTACTGCATTATCATCTGTCATATTGCTTACAAACCAGATTAAAACTTTTAAATCATCTTCTTATTTGATTTGATGAGATTCAGAGTTAGCAAGCGTGGGGCTTGTCTTTACTGCAAGTTCCAAGGGGCCTTTTGCGAATTACTTATTGAACTTGTAGGAAGTCTTTGTTTTCTTGTGTCTTCTTTCTCTGCCTTCAGATACTGTCAATCACTGCCATTATATGTTAATCTTGTTTATGGTTTTTTTTTTTTTGTTTCGTTTTGGTATTCATTGATAGTTGAATATTGTGACAGGCATTTCGCGTTCTTAGGACCAACGGAGTCAATGTTCAAATGATCTCTCAGGGTGCATCTAAGGTATCCCCTGCAATAACTCTATTTTTTTCTCATATCGGCCTCCGAGCCCTAGCTTGTGCTTCTAAGCATCATTAAAATTGACACATTTTTTAGTGCCCTCCTGGCTCTCATAAAAAAATATATTTTCCTCAAATCTTTCTTTCAGATGACTTTCTTAAAGGTATTTATATGAAAATAGATATTTGGTCCCACTAGGCTGTCACTCTCTAGCCCTGACCAGAATACAATGATTTACTAAAATCTTCTTTCGGCACTCGCTCAAAACACCATTCCATCTAAAAGGTGGGATATTCTTTTGGACTCCCATTTTTATATATATATATATATATAATGTAGAGGTGTACCTATGTAATTGCTTTATTTATGTGCCCATATAAGTTGTAACTCGTAGCAACTGTTTTACCTTTTAGGTTAATATATCATTGATTGTACATGACAAAGAAGCCGAACAGTGTGTCAGGGCTCTTCATTCAGCATTCTTTGAAAGTGATCTCCCCGAATTAGATCAATGTGATTCTGCCAACTGATGACAAGTTTACTATATGCTCAATTCGAATTCATTTGATTTAATGAGCTTAGGAGTCTTATGCTTCCCTCACGGATCTTGCTAGGTAAAGATGTACCAATTTAGGATATCTAATTGGTATGATGTAACACTATAAATGTAGTACGTAATGGATGATTTTACTATTTGCCAAATACTTCTTGATTTGTAAGGGCTTTGCCCTCCTATGAACCAAAAAGAAAAAAAAAAAATACTGCTTGATTTTCTATATGAATTTAATGAAAAAAATTGCCGTATATTCCATCTCAATTCTCTCAAGACAAGATTTGTAGAGTTCCAGAATTTTCATAACCTGTGCAGGGAATTAAAGGACCTGCTTCTCCGGAGACTAGTTCTGGATGGTTTCCCAACAAAACTCAAAATAGAAGGAAAAACTTGACAAATTAACTGCATGGTTTTATGAGCTTAAGAGATTCATAAGCCACGGACCCACCCAACAGCCTTAATTGGCTTAAGGCTCTTTTACTGGGCAATTTTTTTGGTTCAGTGTTTATGGGTGTCTTAAACTGGGCCAATTTACCAAAATGGGCAAAGTTGTTACTTAAGACAAACATGGCAGTCACCGACTCAACAGTTAAATTAACTTCTGCAACCAACTATACATTTTGGGCTGATATCCTTTCCTCTTGCTTTCATGGGCTTTAGAGAATGCCACCAATGTGAAACAACAGCCCAATAGCCCAACTCAAGTCCCCAGCAATATAAGAGTCAAGCGCCCCTTCCCCTCTTCCCCAAAGCTTTTGTTGTGTTTACAGCGCCAACTTCTCCTCCGTCATTGCTTTGCACAATCGATTTCTGCCGCCTTGATGAAGGTTTCGGCGGTAAAACTTACAAGCGAAAGCGCCAAGAATCCCAAATCACCTCCGATGCCGTCAACAGCAACGATGCTGCCATCGGCGCCACGTCCATGGACGTTGATGATTCTTGTCCCCCACCTTCAAAGCGCTCTGCCGTGCCTTCCTCGGGCGACACCAACAAACCCAACTTCGATCCACCAACCTACGACGGCGTGATTGCGGGAAAGGTGTCGGGTCGGAACTGGAAGGAGCGACGAAAGCAGCGTGCGTCGGCGAAGCAGGTGAGTATAAAGAGGACTTTGGAGGGAAGAGAGAGACAAAAGGAGATAAAGGGAGGTTATAGAGAGAGGATGAATGAGTTGAAGGAAGAGATTAGACAAAATGAGATGGAGAACAGAAAGAAGAGAGAGGAGAGAGAGAGAAGAAGAAGAAAGAGAATTATTGAGGTCTGGAACTAAGCTTCAGAAGATTACTAATCCAAATACTTTGCAGAAGATTGCCAAATCTAAGCAGAAGAAGTTGTTTCAAGTTGTCCCTGATGAATTTGTTAACAAGAAATCCAAGGAAAAAAAAAAAAACCTTTGTTGGGTTCAATGTTGTCTTTTTCTTCTTTTTTTTTTTTTGCGTTATATGTACTGTATTGCTTCTTTTTGTTGAAAGAAGTTATACTTTATCAGGAAATGTAATCTGACGTTATGCTTTAGTTCAACTACGAAATTAAAGATGAGTAAAATATACATGTAAAACTGGTTTTGTGCCAACTGCTTTTACCATTTACTTAGGCTTAAGTGCCTGTTCAAAACCATTATCATCCCCATGAATTATTATCAAATTCATCTTTTAACTATAACTTGTTGACGTAGTTTTCAGATTAGCTTGTTGATATTAATTTATTTATACTTAGAGCCAGCTACTTGTTCATAATTTTTGCATGGGTGGCAGTTATAAGCTTATCTAGAGAAGAATATAATTCAGTCTCTGGGACATCATCCTAATTTGACGCTTTTCTCCGTCGGCAAAGACTCAAGTCAAGAGGCTTGTTTATTGTACTACTACTATATTATTACTGTCAGGGCAACTGTTGGAAATACATATACAACTTTTCCTTCTCTTCTTCTCCAAATAGAACTATATATCTTTTAAGGAAATTATATGTAGTTACACAGCCAAGTGAAAATTATGTATATTATATATTCAATCCTGAAAGTTGAAAACGATACTGGTGTTCCTGGACACCGCATGGCTTGGTCAGTACTCGTTTCTAATACACTCCCCTTTGATACTCTCGGCTACAGAATTCTCCACCCAGATCATCGCAAGCCTCAGCACAGAAAACCCTGCATGTAGAACATGTTAATTGTCGTTAGCGAGGGCAAAGAATATTAAACCATTCTTAAATTTCAAAAATTGCAGATGTGAAAAATGGTAGATTAATTATATAGAATAGATTAATTTCTTGAGAGAGTAAAATACGTTTTTGCATCATTGTAGTCGAGATATTCTCTGTCAATCAACTCCGTTGGGGTCCTTGGAGAGTCGTTTTTGGCATTTGGTTGTAGCTTTACTTCAGGGTATATGTCTGCCCGACACGCATCTCCACCAATTGTCTCACATGCCTCTGCTGGAAACACACTGCCACAAGTGCAAAACCTTTGTGTTCAGCGGCCCTGGTTCATATACAAATTAAGTCCCAACTTCACTCAAAGGATCTATATATAAACATTTCTTTCCTGCTATGATCTCGCATGGGGCATATATATATATATATATGTATATATCTTCCAGTTCCAGTTGACCAAAGTTAAGCGATAGTTTATCCTAGGCTAGGTGGCCTAAGCTCTAGCGATTGTTTTAATTTCAATTAGTATTAATTGAAGCAGCAGATCTATCTAGTTTAAAGTTAAAAAAAACAGCAGATCCATCTAGTTTAAAGTTAAAAAAAACAGCAGATCCATCTAGTTTAAAGTTAAAAAAAAAAAAGAAAAAAGGCTTACGAGAGCATAGAGCTGTAGTCAACAGTGGCAGTGTCATAGGTGGTGGCAGTGGCTTTGATTGAAAGGCCAAGACGAGGGAAAGCAATTGAGCAGCCAAGCCTTGGGGAGGAACTTACCAGCTGGGAGAAGCTTTTGGAGGGAGAAAGAACGGGTTGTGCAACGCACAGAGTTGCTGCCTGCATTTTGGATAATAATGGATATCAAATTAAAGTTAGGAGTAAATTTCACTGAAAGAGGCAATTCAATTTATAGGCTAGCTGGTATGAGAGCAAGATATTTGCCACTCAATCTGGATAAGGGTTCCTTTTTCTACATGATCAATCGGCAACCGGCACCCTATTAAGAGAAGCACGAACTTTGGTCTGACCTGTTCCAATCCTATTGGAGATATTTTGGTACTTTTCAAGATATTTCTGAGTCGTATTCTTGCATGAAAAATATCCGTATCTGCTTGTCATGTTTCGGGAGGCATGACAATGTTTGACATGATGGCAACATGAAGTTACGACTGTATAATACAAAACCGGTCAAAATGTAATATTTACTAAAAATTATTTTAAAATTTTGATGAAAATTATTATGAGATATTTGTGGGATTACTTAAAGATATTGAGTTGACAGATTGTTTGGTAATAAGTTTGCAAGTCAATTGGTTTATGAGTTTGTAGTAAAGCGAAGGAAGTTGAGTTTAAGTTTTTATAAATAGTATCGTGTTAAAGGTTGTATCTAAGAGTTAAGAGTTAGCTAAATGAAGTCTTTTAGGAACGAACATAATAGCTGTACTCATAATTCAGTTAAAAACAAATTAATTGATGGAATCAAAATAATTTGATTAATTGATAAAATCTTATATATCACTAAAAATACATGAAATGAACATTTTATAAATTATTAGTTTTTAATTTATTATTTTGATATTTGAATATTTTATTGAATAATTTAATATGAATACATATAATTATCCAATTAAACAAAAAATAATCAAAACAAATTAATTTAATTTTAAATAATTCAATTTAAAATTAAGCACACCTATACATACGTGGCAATACGCACAGAAGAAATATTGGTAGCGTGATCGTGTACTTTCAACTGTTGAGTGAGATCACAAAAGGAAAATGGGTTCTGCACTACGGACTGCGGTCTCTGTTTTGTGGTGAAATCGAAAGACTTTTAACAGAATCAAGAAAGAAAAAGATCATTAGGCGGTGATGGTTTATGCCCTTGTGCTTCTCAAATTTCCTTTCAAGTTTGATCTTCAAGAGGAAACTTAACTCCAGTGCAGAGCGTAAGTTTTCATTATCTTGTTTTCCTGCCTTTCTTTCTCTGTCGAAAGCATTTATAGTTTTTTTAAAGGTTTTGAATGCTAAGAGAAATCTGGAAAATCAAGTCTGCATATGTGGGAGAGAACCATTGATGAACAAGCTCCTCTCTCCAGTTAGCCTCTTGCTTGTCAATTGAATCTGAGACTTTAAATCCAACTATCAAATGTTGATCAATAAGTTTGTTTACAAATCAACTTATCCCACCCTAAACTAATTTTCTTTTGGCCATCACCAACCCTCCAAAAGACCCTGCTTCTACGGTTCTACTGCATTACTCTCTGCCAATGTCCTTCTCCAAGTAAAAGAAGGATTATTACCTATGTCCTCTTCTAAAACGAACACTTAGGAAAGTACTTTGCTTTAAGAACAGTGCACCAATTTCCAGCCTTGTTTTGCAAGCAAAGCGAGATTAAAAGCATTAAAATCCCGAAATCCCATGCCTCCTTGCTATAATCATATTCAATTCATGAAGAAAATAAGCTTGGTAGGCGAAAACAACTCATGGTATAAGTTGGTAATCGATACTTCCTTGCCACTGTGCAACAGCAGCTTAGTTTTCCATCCTTTTTCTTGGTTCCACACCTTTTCTTTTATGGAGGCAAGCACTGAATTCTTGGCTCTGCCTAATAATAAAGGTAATGCAACGTATCTATCTTGCTGCAAAACTTTGTGAATCCCCAGAACATTCATTACTAATATTAGCACTGAAACAAATTGCAGACTTCTTTATGTTGATCTGCTGTCCTGAAGCCCTTTCATATTTATTCGAAAACCTGGTGGCATTCCTCTTTGTTGGCGCACAAGAATAAGATGATTTCTCAAAGAACAAATGTGACACTCTTGGACAACCTCTACATACAGCTACTCATTGAATAAGGCCGAATGTCCTTCCGCACATAACAATAAGTACGGTGCCGAAGGATCGGCAATTTATGATCACATTGTACGAAACAGTACGAACACGTCATCCCAAGTGAAATCCATTTCAATGGAAACCCCATTTTCTGCATTATACCATGGATGAATGGTCAATCCATCCAATCACATGCCTTACTCGTAGAATTGTTAGAGCCAACATAGTAGTGAACAACGGTTTTTAACCAACCAACATCAGCATGGGTGTGAAGAACCAGATGAACATTGATTTTTCCCTGCATCTATTCCTACTCAAGTGTTACAAACGATGCACTCGGATTCTGCACATAAAATCCCCAATAATAGCATCACACTGTACAAGCCAAGAATCCTCGTAAAAATAGCTTACTTGTTTCTGGATTCTCAGTCTGGGTGTTTGAGATTATTCCGGCAGTTTTCATTTGTTGGTGTTGAAGTAATAGTTGGTTTGTGTTAGAAAATAGAAACGGAGAATCAAAGTTATGATGATTCATCACATATAAGCGAAATTGTTAACTGCCAAGCACACAAATGCCGTCAAGTTCAATCTCAAAACCTAGAAATAAGTCCCTTCTGTTATTTCTTGAATATTAATTTGATTTTGCTAATACACGCCCATCTCATAATAGAAGCAGCTCTTTTCTTTGTTTATTTTCCTAATTCCTTCTACTTAATATACAATAGTAAGAATATTCATTCATTTTAGCAGCAGAGGCATACCAAAGCAAAGATGAGGACGTAGATATATCCAAGCGTTTCTCTTTCAAGAACCAAACATTTGGAGGTAATCTAAGTCAATAAGGAAAGTTCGGATCTCCATTGGAGCAAGTTCAACCACCAGCTTAGAAGGATCAAGAGGTTCTCCCCTTACCACCTCTGGTTCTTCTTCTTCTTCAAAGGTGCCTTCTACTTTCCATGCTAACCTTCTCCTTTCCATTTCACCTCTTTCTTGATTAGCAGACAAACTCATCTCTGTCACTTTATTTATCTGGAATAAACACCACAGTGAGATCAAATTTATGGCATATATATCTAGCAGTTAATCAGCATTTTCAAGTCATAAAGCCTATTGATGTTACCTTCTTTTTTGGGAACAGCTTTTTCAGTTCAACACTTGCCATAACAGAATAGTCCTTGTCCTCCCCACTCTTTGATCAGATATCCACGAAAGCAAGAGATTATAATCTACCCGATATGTTGAATATGTGGAACCATATAATAAAGCTTTCTATAAAAACCAGAAAAAGGTAGGAGTACCTCATATAGGTGAGCCAACCGCAGGAGCACTTTTCCATTTTCCAGCTCCTGCAATGTTCAAAAACAGGAAAAGAAGGCATTATCTGAAGTTGATAAGTAACTGGCATGCATGCATGCACAATGTAATCTCACAAAATTCCATTTTCGGGTAATTATCTTTCATGGGCATCATGAAGCCAGTTCTGACTTGTTCTTTACCTGGAGAGTTATTATGGCAACGTTATCTGGTAATGAGTAGGAGGGATCAATGCCTGAAAATGTTGGAACATGAGAGCTCATCCAATCATTGCCATCCTACAAAAGGAACACCAATGACCTCAGTATGGAGGCCCAATGCCACTAAAAAGCAAGTCAAGTTTGCACTTCACCTGTTCAGAGAAAGCTAAAAGAAGTGGTGAGTATATCTCTTGGCCAACTGTGCGACGCCACTTTGCCCCTTCTCCTATAGGATCAATTCGGAGATAAAATTTTCCTTGGATCTGCAAAATCCAGAATTCCGTTACACTTGGCACTTTTATAGCCAGGGACAAAGAACATGAATCGACAAGCTATGCTTACAGTTAAACCTTCACATCCCTCAGGGACACAAACTGTTTCATTTAATACTTCACCGACACCTCTAACGTCATCATGAATCAACCTCCTATAAATCAGAATATTTTATAGATCGTGAGCAAATAAGTACTTGTAAAAATACAAAAGCTAGGAAAGATGCAACAGACCTATGGAGCATCAGCTCAATTTGACCATCAGCTAAGCTGGATCCCCCCACTGAACGATCCACCAACACTGAGAGCTCTGTGCTATTGTCTTGTAGGTAAATTCCCAGATTGATCTGATGAAAGCAGTTTGAAAAGGCAAAGAAGAAATTCAGTTTCAATTTAACACAGAAAACTTATGCATTTACCAGACTCTAGCAAGCAGAGCAGATATCCACCATGATTTATATTAGAGAATGGCAGGGATAGAACTGTAATTTACAGGAAAGACAAAAAAATTGCAATTTTCACGGGAAGAAACATACTGGGTAATAATTTCCAGCAACTGGTTGGTTCACTTGAAGGTCCCAGTCTTTCCTAAAATCTCGAATCTGCAAACATTAGATTTAACTACCATGAAGCAAAAGTAAACATCATCATAATCAGTTATAGAACTAGAATTTCAATTTAGGTGAATGAAACAGTAAATTAACAGAAAAATAAGCATACAAGTACTTACCAGTAGAAAAAAGAAGCTAACAAAATTGCAATTTAGCAAACTTTGGATGCTGATTTTAAATATCTAAAAGAATTTACGCTAGTATATATAAAGTAAGAAAGTTGAATTCTGCGTGGCTTTTGGTCCAAACAAATTTTTGCATGACAAGGATTTGCTAGAATGGCAAGCAGCAAGAATCAATATACCCGTTTAATGAAGTCACGTCCATTAGAATCTGTGTAGAACGTTCTGTTGGTCTTCATAGTTGTTGTAATTTGAGTAATGATTTCTTTCCCTATCCCATCATTCACAGGAATAGGCCCAATCTAAGATCATGTAAATAAAGTCAGTAAATCCACCCAATTAATTCTCAACCTAGTATAAACACAAACAAAGACTCCATCTGGTCCTGCAAGAAATTTATAAATAAAAACAAGAAGAGAGATTGACTCACATTGAACTCAACTTCAGCATGCTCTTTTCCCTTGAATACCCTGGTAACCTGTTCATCCATGCAGCATTCTGTTACTGAAAGTTCAAGACATCAGATGCTTAGGTGCAAACAAAACCACAAAGTTCCTGTTCTGCCAATAGTAACTGCATTGCATAGCTCCAAACTAAATATAAACATGATAGCAGAAATTCTACAGAAAAATGGA